CCGGGGGCAGTCTGGGGAGCTCTTGAGACTAAGCAAGCTGCATCTCTCACTATTGATGGGAGTGCATACTGGTCACTGTGTGATTGGTAACCATGCTGTAACGCTGAATGTTGCGGATAACCCTTACTGCACCAGCTGCATGGAGGATAATGAGGTGGAATCATCTCAACATCTGCTGCTTTGGTGCCTCGCCTTTGCGAGCCTAAGGTTTAAGCACCTTGGGTCGCATTTTTTTCACACTCCCTATGAGCTCTCGGGAGTGGACATCAGTCGACTGAAGAGCTTCGTTGTGAGCACGGAGGTGTTGTCCTTCTCCCATAGCTTCCTCCCTCTTTCCCCTCCCTGCGTCCCTTGTTCCCTCCCCCCCTCTGAGGGCTTCACATCGAACAGCTTAGTCGAGTCCAAGTGTGCCTCCACATGCGGAGGCAGCCCGCTTACCTAACCTAACCTAACCTATATTTATTGTGCGCTTTTTCTTTTTACTAAAAGAGAACTTTCAGGAAAAAAATCTCGAAATTTTCTTTCATATATTTTTACGTTAGGTTTTTTGCCGTACGTCCACGTATCATTTAAAAAAATATCGCGTACCGTTCACACCAAAAAATTTGTCCGAAATTGTACACAAAAATGAGTCACATGTGACTCATGAACTTATTTCAACACGCTCTCGTGAGTCACATATGACTCATTGGACAGGGAAGTTGTTAAGACTTGCAGCCCCTACCCAAGCCTCGTACCGAGTTTGAATCGGCTAAGAATCGGCCAAAAACGGCCGATACCGATTCTTTTGGCAGATACTAGCCGATGCCGATTAATCGGTCGGACTCTAATTGGAGGTCACATCACTACATACGTATGTATACATAATATGAATATTCTAGAACCATGGTGGAATAATAACAAGGTGTTGTCAGTAGCGACGTGTTTGTTGTAACCCTGCAAAAATCGTTGGACCATGTAGTCTATTTGTGGTAAATTGGAGTACTTACAAAAGTGTTCCTCTGTCATGCTGTAGCGGACCAACGCGTGTCTCTGCGCCAGCTTATTGTTTGTTATCCGATCACTGCTCGTGTTTTAACGAAATGTGATTGAAGTTGAGCATTTGAAAGCACATTTGCATGTCTGGCTGTAGCTGAACGTGTAGAGATGCTCGCTGTTAGTTCTTAGCTCCCAGCATTTTCGGGTTCGAATGCCGTCAGAGGCAACATGTAATTTTTAATTTTTGTCTTGGTTTTTATTAATTTCGAAAAAGCATTTGAGAAGTGAAGAACAAAAGCGTGTACAAACGAAAAAATATAACAACAATGCCATTGTTAATATGTTGGAGTAGTTTTGTGCTACTCTGATGTAATGCAGGGATGGAGTATATGGTCCTGCCCTAGGACATCGCAATGCTAATTGGACCATATTTTTTATATGAATTGTGGTTAATTTTGGAGTACTCCTTGGTCCTTAGGGAGTACTCTTTACACGCATGCATGGAGTAGTCGCGATTTTTGCAGGGAATTTTGACAAAGTCGGCATGCTTATTTTCAGTGCTACCGATCTTAATTTTTATACTACTATTCGTTGGGAAATAGTATCCAAAATGTTCCATTTTAGTAATTCGTTTTATCGCGATTTTTAAAGAACTTGATGTTTTCAGAACGATATTAATATTTAAAATTGATGGATTTGTATAATTTTTGTCCTCAAAATGTAAAAAAAAAATAAAAGATATCGTGGTTATCAATGGAAAACGACGTACACAAAAATCGTATGGAAAGGCGGTTTTTTATATTAAATAACTCCTGCTGCATTGTCTTAATATTGAGCCAAATGAACTACTGATACACTAGAATAGAGTGGCTGGCTAAATTAGAAATTCGCTTATATTATCGATATTTATGTATTTCAATCAATTTAAAAAATCATTTACAGTCTTATAGTAAATTGCCTTATTTTACCGCCTTTACTTTTTTAAAGTTACAATATGTCCAAGCTGTACGGAGCTACCGATACAAACTTATATTCAGGCTTATAAGCCTGTAATTATACATTTTTCTACATTTAATTTGAAGTAGTATGCACCAACGGATTAAAAGTAGTAAATAATTAGTACCTTTTCTAGTACTTTAAAATGCGTGACCGGAATAGACCTGCCGAAAAAGTGAGGTTAAGTAACTGACAACACCTTGTTATTATTCCACCATGTTCTAGAATATTACTCTTAATTTTTACCAATAAAGCCATGAAAGCTAAAGAATAAATATAAAAATTTGTCCAACATATTGCCTGTAATGTGCAAACACAAATATTGACAACAAAACTTATTGGGGCCTTAGGCGTTTATTTTCATAACATTTTCATTTTCACAATCTTTGGAATTCATATAATGTGTCGATGAAGCTTATAATAAAACGGCCGGTCCTCAGCAAATTTGTTAAATTCAAAGTGATCACTTTCAAACTGACGTAAAGAAGCTTATTTTAAACTCCAATGTAAAGGTCCAAACGAGCATCCTGAATAAAGGTTTTGCAATAGAGATCGGTCATAATTTGATTGCATCTATGGGAGATAAGACAAAAAATAATTGGTTATCGTATATATGAACATACAAATATTATAAGGAGAGAGAATGTTAAATTCTAACAAATGCCTAGTTTTTAAAATAGATATTATGCCAATTTTTAAATACTTTGTATGTGCGGACCTAGAACGGAACTAAAAAAACAGTTTATCATAAATTTCTTGAAAATTTATAGTCAATATTTGATGATCAAGTAGGGACTGACTATGGGGCAGAGGCAGTGGCGGATAAACGGCGGGCGGGGGGGGCGTTATGGTGGTTTGGGGGTTAAACCCCTCCGCCCCCTCAAGTCAAAGAATAATATTTCACTAATATGGGTCTAGAAAAAGGCTCTTTAGAAGAAAGCATGCGTAATAAAGTTTCAAAACACGAATATTTTAAATCATATATTACATTTTTCGCTTTATTTAGAAAACATTTTGATAATTTTAATCACATTAAATTTTTCTTTTTACTTATAAATCAATGAAACGAAGAATATTCAAATTTTTCGTGGTTTTTTGAAAAATTCTTCTGGAATTCATCAACTGAAAAATTTATATATTTGTGAATATTCATAGATGCTAGACCGTTGAGCCTTTCTTGACATGTTGTATTTCTCAAGTAGGTTTTAATTCTTTTCAGGCATGAAAAGATTCGTTCAGGTGTGGCTATTGAAACGGGCAAAAGTGCCAATATACGTAAGATCTTAAAAACATTCCCAAGAGACGTTCTATTAGCTACTTGTAATGCTTCGAGATCATTTCGAAAATGTTCGCGTGAAACTCGTTTTTACCACATTTTTAACTCCAGAAGAAAGTTTTGTTTCGAGCAGTCGATTACTTTTTCATAGAAAGCAAACAATTCTTCAGTTTTTTTTTCGTTATTTTATTGTTTTTATGGTTTAGGAACCGGCTTTTCAAATGAGCAATATATGTATCAAAGAAGGGAATGTAAAAAGCAATGCGATAGTATGCCTCGGCGTCTCCGGTTTTCACATTTAAGCGATTCTTTTGGCGACTGCCGTATCGCGGTACTTTGATTTCTGTACCTAGGTTGGTGCATACTTCTTCTACGTGTTCGAAAAGCAAATGAAAGTTTTTTTCTGCATCTTGTCGCATTTCTTCAAATTCCTTTAAAGCGTCGTCGGCTAAGCTCATTGCTTCTGCAAGATCTTCATCAGGTACTTGTAATTGCCGGCTAGCAAAGCAACAACAATTTATAAAAAAGCAAATGCTTGGCTTTTGTCGCTGTGCTAACAGTTTTTCAAAACCTGATAATTTCTATAGATATTCGCACGATACAAATAATTTTTACGGTATTTTCCCCGTGACAAATAAAATGTTTTTGACAATTGGAAGAAATACAACTTCGAAAGTCTTTTTAAAACGATTTTTCATTTTGCTACGTTAGAGCCGTTGTCGAGAAACCTATGAATATTTATACATATACACAAAAATTGCTCGTTTAAGGTAATTAGAATAACTGGCAAAATTTCCCCGCATTTATGCTTGGATACCAATATTTACAACCAATCGTTTGTCTCTACGGGAAGGCATTGGTGTTATTGAAGACATTAAAAACAAATTATCTCAAATGGAGGTTAACGAATATTAAAAAAAAAAATAATAATAAAATAAAACGACCTTATCGAGAATATCAACAACACTTGATTGTCCATTGTAATTATCAATACTTGAAATAAACTAAATAAAAACGAAACATTAAACTGTACTTAAATTTTGTCGTTTTGCGAGCATATTTGCAAGCATATTTACAAATGTTTTAGTGCTTAGCTAAGCGCTTAAAATGGATTTTTTCGTGCTTATTTTCTTCGGTCCTGTTCATGACTAATTAGTCATTTTTGCAGTCTGAAGTGAATAATGAAATTCTAAAGCAATCTTTGTGTGTACTTCTTCATAGAATTATAATACTTATTTGTTTAGAAAATAAATGAGCACACAAAAAGCTTAATTAAAACCCCAGTAGTATACAAAATATTTAGAAAATGTCAATGAATTCCAGAAACTTCCAATGAAATAAATTTTTATATATTATAAATATATAATAAGTATGTAGATATTATTTATGTAGTTGAAAAAAAAACAAAGTGCCTGAGAACTGGTTTCTAAAACAAAAAATAACAATTGGGCTGTTCACACTTGCCAGGTTATCGGGTTATCTGGTTAAAAATTATTATTCTGTAGTGTATGTTATTGTTGTAAACTGAATAAAAAAAAGCCAAGCAAACGAAAAGCCTTTCTACGCAAAATCAGTAAGTTAGACATTTTCATGCTAAAAAAATCAGTATTTTTAAGTATATTTTTATTCAAAGCAAAATTATGAATGTAAGTATCAGATAATACTTTAAAACGCCAGAGCAGGGATGATAAATGGGTTTTTTAATATTGAACCAAATGGCAAAAAAAAAAATTACCAAATCAGCCGAAAAAGTACCAAGATATACGATTTCAAATAAGGTAAATTTCTTTGGAGGTACATTCTTTTAAAATCTCCAGTACACCATTTCCAGCAAAATATCCAGTATAGTATGCCAACAGAAAGTTTGCAGAAACTTTCAAGCTATCCAAACAGCTGATAGAATTTTTGTTTTCATTCAAAAATGTTGAAAAAAAAATTCTCCTTCAACTTAAATTTCCGGCCTTCGGTAGCGTTTTTCAAGCAGAGGTAACCGCAATACAGGAGGCTTGGGATTATTTGCTCCCTCGGGTAAAAGGTAAATCATACTAATACATATGTTTACTAAGTGCATGTGAAAAGCATAACTGTATTCTAAAAATATTTTCTGAAATACATTTGTGCTTTTCTGAAATACATTTGCCCTTTTCTGAAATACATTTGCGTTTTTCTGAAAATAACTTGAACTTTTCTGAAATACAATTGCGTTTTTCAGAATTTCATTTGGCTTTTTCTGAAATACATTTGAGCTTTTCTGAAATACATTTGCCCTTTTCTGAAATACATTTGAGTTTTTCTGAAAATCATTTGGCCTTTTCTGAAATTCATTTGGCCTTTTCTGAAATTCATTTGGTTTTTTCTGAAATACATTTGTGTTTTTCTGAAATAATGTTGGAAAAGGTGTAGATCGTGATTCCTCCATGACTTTTAAAAATCTGACTTTTTTCATTTTGAGCAAAAAATAGCGATTGTATCTGATTTTTAATTTTTAAGGCAAAAATAAAAGTTAAAATTTGCCTTTTATTTTTTTATTTTTATATATGTACCATCTATAAATACAATACATGAAGGCATCTTTTGTTAACGGCATCAGATCTGCACAGATCATTCGATTTTCAAAACTGAGGTTTCAAATTAAAGGGCTTGGCTTCTCACGGTATCCTTGAACCAGATTCAACTGAATCGGTCTGGAACGATGGAATTTCCGATTATACTATTTCGGAGGGGTGTTCCCGAGTTAGAATACGTGAAGTTCAAAATCGTGGCAAGTGCCGATTTCAAAAACGATAACTTTTTCGATTTTCGGCCGATATTTCGCATTTAATAATAATAATAGATTGGCGCTTACACATATGTTAGTGTTTGGCCGAGCTTCTCCTCCCATATGTGGCGTGCGCCTTGATGTTGTCACACAAATCGGAGGGACCTACAGTTTTACGCCGACTCCGAACGGCGATTATATTTTTATGAGAAGCTGTTTTTCATAGCAGAAATACACTCGGAGGTTTGCCATTGCCTGCCAAGCAGAGCTGGGTAAATGCAATTACATTACAATTACAATTACATTCCTCAGTAATTGTAATTAGGATTCAATTCCTTTAGTTCACTGCAAAGGAATCGATTACTTTTTCAATTCCTTGAAGTAATTTCAAATGGAATTGTTTTTTCTTTAATTCCATTACAAGGAATTTCATATTGTAATTGGAATAAATTACGTGCTAGTAATGTAATTTTTTTTTCCAATTCCTTTGAAAGGAATTGAAAATGTAATTTTTTTTCCAATTCCTTTGAAAGGAATTGAAAATGTAATTAATTTTTTTCCAATTCCATTCCTCAAAGTAATTTAAAAAGTAATCAAAAAATTTATAAAAAAAAATTTTTTACTGTTGAATTGCAATAGCTTTGTTAAATTTCCTGCTAGTATTTCATACAAAAAATTATTGCACTTTCACTTAACCCTTGCACACTTGTTTATTTATCCATCGATTTTCATCGGTAGTAGTGTTTTAACCCGCAAAACAAGCAGAGTTTGGCTAGTCTATACTAATATATATTTTGAAAGGCGTTTTTTTCTGTTCGCAAAGCTCGAGAAAGGCCGTACCGATTTGCTTGAAATTTCGGAATCTACTGCAGACTTTCCAAGGATGGTAATAGATAAAAAAAAGTTTCGATATAGAAAGGGGGCGTGGCACCTCCCATACAAACCGAATTTTTCAAACTGCATATATTTGTGGTAGAGGACTAGAACTGGGTATGGTGATATCTATATACATATATAAGACCAATTCCATACTCATGGAGAAAAAATTTGCATGGTTGGAGAATGGCGTGTGGCACCTCCCATATAAACCGAACTTTTCATATTGCATATTTCTGGAAGTGTTCATGGTAGACTGTAAGCCTTTTTAAAACTCTTTAGTTTGACACCCACATGCCAACATTGCATTTACTTTGTCAATTTAACTGAGTTACAATTTCCAAATAGGTGGCAGCCCCCTCAAAAATATTTCCAACAGTTATCTTTCTCAAACCTTTTTAATTTGATACCCATATTGTAATATTTTATTTATTTTATCAATGTAATTTAGTTAAATTTTCAAACAGATGGCAACCCTCCTCAAACATATTTTCGGCAGTAAGCCTTCTTAAAACTCTTTAGATTGACACCCACATGGCAATATTTCATTTTTTTAACAATTTGACTGAGTTTAAATTTTCAAATAGGAGGCCACCCTCGTCAAAAATACTTCCAGCAGTTATCTTTCTTAAACCTCTTTAACTTAATACCCATATTGTAATA